TTACTAGAACGCGCCATTACAGAAAGAGCAAAAATGTTTGTCCGTTGACAGGCATCGAACCCTGGCCTTTTGCGTGGGAAACAAGCACGCTAACCGTAAGTGATTTTAGTCGGTGTATAAAAAGGATTGTAGTTTATATTCAATTCTAATTATTTAATTTGTTCTGGTTTTAATAAATTTACTTAAATATTTTCTCATTTGTCCGTCAATTTCAGGATCACGCAAGAAGACCGCTGAAGAGATCTTGGAGACTTGCCAGCCAGGACGCCTCAGAAATTGACTTGTCAGTCGAAGAAGATGGTACAACATTACTGCAACCAGCCGATTCAGAAGAGTATTTGACAGGTGGGTACATTTGTATCAGGCGTAAATCATGGTGTCTCAAAAAATATTTTAAGAATTTCAGAATCATCAGGCGATGACGACTCCGAGGACGAGACATAAACAAGCGCAGGAAGACTTCCACCTTGAAGGCCAGGTGCTCTATTTACGTCTGTTCTCCTTGATGTTCCTGGTGCACCACTTTCTCACCCTGATTCCCGAAAAGACTGGACACCTTCATTCTATTTGTAACAGTACCTCACAGACGCCACCTATCGCAATACGCATGAAATGACAGGTGTCCTTTCAAAGACAGGGAACTCCATTGAATAGTTAAACAGCCGAACTGAAGCATTTCATGGGGTAACATTTATGATGAGTTGTTTGGGCTACCCACAAATCTGCCTATACTGGGCTAGATTGACGCGAATACCAGCAATCGCCAATGTGATACCACGGGACCGCTTCTTCTTGCTCCGAAGTAACTTAAACGTAGTGAATGACCTTGATGTCACTGATGAAGAAAAAAGGATGAGCCGCGGTAGGTGAGGCCGTTCATAACAAAGCACCAGGAAAGCTTGCCTCCAGCTGCCAAGGAGCCCGATAGCGAGCATAGATGAACAAATGATCCCATTCAGAGGTGCAACAACACTAAACCAGTATGTCCCTAAGAAACCGCATCCACAAAGCTAAAAAAAAAAGCTCTGTCCTCGCTAGCCCCACGGAAATGGTACTTGACTTTGAGATTCTTCAAGGAAAGTCTACTTTGTCACCTAATACTTCCGAACTGGGTGCTTTTGCTTGCGCTGTATTGCGCTTATCGCACTGCCATCCGGCAGCGCGCTGTTTTTTGATCGGCACTTCACAACAGTACCTCTGTTACATCGCTTGGCAAGCAAGGACTTGCGTGCAACTGGCACCATTATGAAGAACAGGATCCCGAAAGATGCAAAGCTCCCCGACGACAAGACTTTGATCAAGAAAGAAACGGGATCCTCAAGTCAAACGGTAAATGTATCGGATGGCATCTGTCTCGTGAAGTAGGTTGACAACAAACCCTGGCTTCCACACACATCGGACAGCAACCTGTTGGAACCTGCAAAAAGTGGTGCAAGAAGCAGAAAATCTACCGGGATGTATCCCGTCCAGCCATAGTGGACGAATACAACGAAAACATGGGCTGTATCGACCTGTGTGACCGGATGCTGAGTCTCTGTCCGACGACGGTGAGAACAAGGAAGTGGACTGTGCGAACGCTTCTTTTTCTGGCGGACATGGCTGCCATAAATGCATAGTTGCAGTACAAGTAAGACCGTCAACTTCTTAATGTTTCAAAGGAACAGCGGCTAAAGCTCCTTGATTTCAAATGGTCAATCGCGCATCACTTGCTAACAGAAGAAACAAGCAAAGACGAAAGCAAATTCAGATGAGCCCCTCAGAAAACGCCCTTGTATGACGACGACACCCCTGACTTCTGCCGTGGTCAGGATCTCGGGAGCAAGACATATGCCAGAACTGTCAAACCAAAGGTCAGGATCCAGATGCCGAAACGCTGGATGCTCTCAACGCACACAGTTTCGTTGCACACACTGTAACGTGTTTTGTGCATGACATTCTCACGCATTCAGCTACAGTAATTTTTCAGTTCTAACATATTAGTGCACATCCTTATCCCAAAATTTGATAGATAAGAAAAAAAAACAAAAAACTAGTAATTCTTTTGTCAGCGGCGAGCCGCTGGTTTTGAAATGTTCGTGCCTAGTTCACGATTTGCGATAACTTTGCATCCAGGCATGTGTTACTGTAGTCAAAAGCAGTGATATTCCTTTTCGGCGGACTTTTTTTTACACAGGCGACTAGAACTGCAACCAAACTTTTGTTTAAAAACCTATAAGTAGGTTGTAAAGATGTCGCGGGTGATCTTTTGTTAGAATGTATGAATGTTAAACATGAATACCGTATATAAATGTAGGGCTTATTTTTGGACATTATACTACATTTCCGTAAACTGCTAGGAACTTTTTATTTTTTGTTATCTGAGAAGCAGAAATGAAAGGGGCGACACACAGAGCTATCGAGGCCAGACTGTGTGTCGTTACCTTTTTGTCCCCAATCTAAAATATTTAAAGTTCCCCAACGTGGCTGTAACAACACCAAAGTAAAAAAAGAAAAAAAAAGTATTGATTGACTTTGAAACTAAACAAAAGAATTACCTAAAAAACAGAAGAGCTAGGTTGGACCGGTGATTAGCAATCAACCTACGCTAAGTAATAAAAAAAAAAACGCAAAGAGGCGAGGACTTGAGAAGATAACGAACAAACAAAAGCACACTCCGAGCGCGAAGCTACAGATTTCATGCGAGCCAGAGATTAACGCACACAAGAGACAAGACTCGCCACCCATAAAATAATAATAATAAAAAAAGCAGCGACGGCAAATTTATTGCTGACCAAACAAGGAAAGCAAACGATTGAGCGCGAAAGCTAACGCTACACCTCACAGGATCACCCCCCAAAAACCCAACAGCCACAGAAATCAACTCTGCTCTAAACCGTTCAAAAGTTCTCCACTTCGCACTACAGTGCCAGAGGCTGACCCCGAACGGCCAAAGAAACGAGTCGTAACTTGCCGATACAGTCAGAGTCCCAACGAGCCTACAGGCGTCTTCCAGAGAAGGTGGTCGTCTCGGTTTTCAAACTGTTCGTCCGACGCTCGGAGAGGGGTCGTCACCACACTCACGCTCCCACCAGCACACGCAGAAACGAAGCAAACTCAACAAGCAAAAAAAAAAAAAACTTCAAACGAAAAAAAAACCAAAAAACCCGAAGACTCGCGTATACAGCGAGGAAACACGTCGCTAGCAGTGGCCTGGCCCGCCCCGGGGCTCCAACTTCGTTAAAAAATCCTCTTATGTAGGCTCTTCCATTAACCAAAATGCTGACCCCAACTTCCGAGTCAGCCATCTTCGTAGAAAAAAAGTACCCGGTATCGACCCAAATGGCAGCACCCATTAAATTTTCCGACAACCAAACACACGTGCGGATTCATTTCCCCGTACGAGTCCAGAAACAAGAATTATCACCAATACAAAGAAAACGACAACGTTGATAGGCGCTGAAGATCCGTGAGAACGGAGATTCCGAAAACTCCTGATATGAGGTCACGCTACGGGAAGGAGGGGCTTCAGCGGTACTTTGAAAATAATTTTCTGCTGCATCCAGGCATCACATTGAAAAATAACCTTGATATTTGTGGTCCTGGCGGCCAAATGAAGACGATTTAAGTGTTTTCTCTTAGATACAGAACCGCTTCAGTTTCCCTTTAAAGGTGTGTGGAAACGAAATGCTTTGCACTTATTTCTTTCTTTAGATCTGGTCTATGTTAAACCAGCAGCCCAGAAACACTAGCCTAGGCTAGTGTTTTTGGGCTGCATGAAGAGAAGTCAAGAAAATTCATTTTGAAACGAATGAACAGATTTCAAAATGGCGTTTGGTGGCGGGCTGTGAAGCTGCGTTGGAATGCCGCGACGTCATGAGTTCCCAAGAAGCAGCGCCACTTCTCGGTAGTATGGATCACTAGTGGAGTTACTTAGTCCTGAATGGGACTTGGCGAAGAACGCCAACGCGTTTACTATGCTCCGTTCAGCCATAAGCTGCAAGCGCGAGCTAGCCCGCGCTCCTGCCTTTGAGACTCGCATTTCTAGCGCGAGTGCTCGTTCCGTGGAATAACGCTTCAAAGCAGCGACCTTGATCTCTCGTTCTCGGATATTACTACCCGGCGAGATTGTCACGCGTTGACGCCACCAAGCGGCAAGGCAAGCAACAACAGTACCCTTGACCGTGCAGGAAGTAGTGACGTCACGAACTCGATACGCATCGCGCTTATCGCTGGCCGACTTTGAAGTGAGGGACAGAGAGCTCACGCTCATGTCATTTCGTTTCCGCACCGCTTTGAACGATTGCAAGACAAAATAGCGGCTAACCGCCGCTATGTCTCTGCCACGGTGTAAGATACACTCTTTAGGTGAGGACACGGCGGGGCTGAACGCGCGGCGCGAGGAATCAGATAGCGTTCGTTCGACGGGCATCCGAAAGGCTGCATCATTCCGCGGCCACCGTGCCCGCGGCTGACAGTGTCGCCGGCGGCCAAACGGCGAAACTGTGTGAGAGCTAAAAAAAAATATATCGTTGCCATGACATCCCGATACACCGTGGTCTTTCTGCACGTGCGACAACCTCGCTGGAGCTCTGCGCGTGAGGAGCATGAGGTGGCACGAGCCGTCTTGTGCACTGCTGCCTGCCTCCTACACCGTGCCCACGGGTCGACGAGTCATCTGCCGGCGCCGCTTAAAACGATAGTCAGAAAGAGAAAGAGAGAGAGTGGAAAGCAAACTTTATCGGCACGTCGCGAGCAGCGCGCTGTCCTCACCTAAGAGTATTATCTTACACCGTGATCTCTGCTCGCGTGAGCAAGCACGCGCAACTGCCAGTGCAATTCCACCAAAGATACATTCACGCGCATGTTTGTTGGTGACGTGATGTCTCCGGTCACGTGCGGCGTGAAAAGGAAGGCACCTCTTTTCATTTTCCAATCATCATCGAAACCCCGTCTCGCGCGGTTGACCCGAGGGACGTGGCACAGGTCCGCGTGAAGACAATCTGCGAGGGCCACATCACCACATGTTGAACGCCGAAGTTGAGCGGCATCGAAGCGAAGAGAGTTTGATGATGGCCGATGGGCTGCCTCCGGCGCCTAGGGGAAACCACCCTTGCGTTACAATCCTGGTTTTTCTTTCGTGGTTCCTCATCTGCATCACCTTTCCTTTCTCGCTCTTTTTCTGCATCGTCATCGTGAAGGAGTACGAACGAGCCGTCATCTTCAGAATGGGTCGGTTACTCCCCGGAGGGGCCAAGGGTCCTGGACTGTTCTTCATCGTACCCTGCACTGACAACTACAGCGTCGTTGAACTGCGCACTTGGGCTTTCGACGTTCCTCCTCAAGAGGTCCTCTCCAAGGACTCAGTCACCCTGGCCGTCGACGCTGTGGTCTACTATCGCGTTTTCAACCCGGTCATCGCCATCACCAACGTCCAGGACTTTGCCCGCTCCACGAAACTGCTGGCTTCCAGTATACTCAGGAACGTACTGGGAACGAAGTCCCTGTCGGAGATGCTCTCGGAAAGGGACTCCATCTCCCAGCTGATGCAGTCGACATTGGACGCGGCTACGGATCCCTGGGGAGTAAAAGTTGAGAGGGTGGAAATGAAGGACTTCAGAATACCAGTTCAAATGCAGCGGGCCATGGCTGCTGAAGCGGAGGCCATGCGCGAAGGCAGGGCAAAGGTCATCGCGGCAGAAGGCGAGCAACGAGCCTCCCGTGCTCTCAAGGATGCCTCTGACGTCATATCAGAGAGCCCGGCGGCACTGCAGCTGAGGTACCTGCAGACGCTGGCCACCATTGCTACGGAACGGAACTCGACAATCGTATTTCCGCTGCCTCTAGAGCTTATGCGCGGCATGCTTTCTAAGTGATTTTGTGGGTCTCTTCCTGACAAATAGATGTCGTTTCTTGCAGCGGTTGGAGTAGTGCTCGCCAACGGCAGTTGCCCTGACGGCGTTTGGTGTTTTTTTGCGTTTCGTCTGGTACTGGGGTTTTGTAATCGACATTGTCAAGTTTGACTTTTGGGCGTTTTATTATACGTACATCATACCTTTGAGAATTAGGAGTGTGGGTATTCTTTGTTTATAGGACCGGTGCAGCCGTCTCGGTCATAACAAATTATCGTTTTTTTAGTTTGGTGTGGGTTAGGAAGATAGCAGATTCTGCACACAGACCTAAATTAACTTATTTCTTTTCGTGTGTGAATTAAAATATAAATAAAATCTTGAATCAGGTCTGGTTATTCGGGTACGATTTTGATGAGGCTTGCCAAAAGAAAATTGAGACACCAGTACTTCCAACTTTTTATTTGCCTACGGATATTATGCGTACTTTCTGCAGATCATAAATTTGTTTGGAAGTTCCACCCTCGTCATATCTTGTTTCCTTCAAAACCCAAAGTGGGACGACTCCGATGAAAAATGAAGGGGAATTATTGGATATTTTTAACATTTCCACACACACACACCAGTGTTTGACAAAATACTCGATAACAGTATTTAAGTTTCTAAATACCTGCTTCATAAAGTATTTAAAATACTACTCAAATTACTTTCACTGTAAAGTATCTTGAGCAGAGTGCAAATACTTAGAAATGTAATTCAATTATTTTTAAACATACTTCCGCATTACATAATTTGCATCGATGTCAGTGACAACGACAATTATACAGCTGGGCAAATCTGGGTTACCAGAATGGATTATTAATTGAGTAACGGTTGATAGTGGAGCTTGTTGGTACATACTTGTATATATATTTGACAGCTTGAACCAATGCTAGAAATGCAAAAAAGTAAACGAGGAAACCCGAAGGAAGATCGCTGTGCTACCATACGTTCACGGGATTACGCACAAATTGAAAAAGATCGCCGCGAGGAATGAGATCCAAGTAGTATGCTCCGCGCCTAACAAAGCGTACTCCATGTGCAGACGAGTTAACAACAGAACAGGCAAAGAAAAAACGTGCGACATTGCCCACAGAACACAATATGTACCATGCATGACAGGAGTGGTTTACAACATTCCCCTTTCATGCGGGAAGTGCTACATCGGCCAGACGGGCTGATGCATTAACGACAGAGCCCGCGAGCACGCAGCATCCCTTAAAGGAACGTCGGCAGGGCATCTTGCAGCTCATTGCAGGACTTGCCACTGCAGTGCAGCGTTCAAGGACATAACCATCCTAGCCAGTAATAACAATACTCATGCGCGCGAGATGCTCGAGGCGCTTGCTATCGAAGAACAAGCGAGTGGGTGCGTCAGCACCCCGTCCATCACTATTCACAAAAAGGAGAGACAATATCTACGGTGCGTCACGGTCCAGAAAATGGCAGTATGAGCTTGTGGCGGGTACATTTTAAATATTAGTTTAGGTTTAGGTAATGTGAAAATTTTTGTAAACATACACATGCATTATTATATTAGTATAATAGGTTCTAATATGTAATAATTTTTGTTGGTGTCTCAAAACACGCAAGGAAAAAGAAGTTCCCACTAAATAATCGTTGGTAGTCAGCTGTCTATTCTCTCCTGTCTCAATTTCTCTGTATCTTCCCCTGGTTCAAGCTGTCAAATATATATACATGGGGTATTAACACGCAACAGCAGAAAACGAAAAAAAAAAAGTTTTGTATGGCTATTTTATGCAATCCAACTATAAGGAGCAGGATATTGTAACGAATGACAAATGATGAGGCGGCGAATAACTGAAGAAACTAAACGTTTAATGGGGCGAAATTGTGCCCAAAACAAAATAGAGAAAGGCTAGCGTCGCAGGCGTCGATGTCGTCGAAACAGAAGGATCGAGCGCTTGGGCGAGACTGACTCCGGACCGCTACTCGGAGCACCGTTTGTACCCGCGTGGGTTTCTGGAACATTCGGCGTAGAACGTTCGGCGCGTAGAACGTTCGTAACTCAATCAGAGGACCAGGTTCTCAAACTTACGAGAATTTCAAGTTTAAAGAATAAATAGAAGAGGAGTCCGCTCCCTGGTATTGAATCCGGAGCCTTCGCGCGAGAGCCAAGCGCGGCAACCATTCGGCCACGCGCTCGCTCGGCAACGCGCGTGGCGATATCACTGATATAGACGCTTTGCAGCAGCTGTAAATGGACGCCGCCATAACGAACCTTCAGTTTTTGTTTCCTCTTATTTCGTTTATTTCACTTCATCATTACCATAGCAGGCCAGGTTATGGCCATATTAGAATCAACTGTGTCCTTTTCTAAAGCATTGGCCTTTGTAGAGGATCGTCAACTACTGTTTCAGTTGCTCGGCATCTCGGTAAGACAAAAGAAGGTCAGCAATGGCGGTTGTAATTTGGCGCGTGTGTAAAGCGTCTGTATGTTACAAAACATCTCTGGGACAATAAAAAAGAGGTCGCTTTAGCTATTGGGAAGGAGATCAGACCGTGGTGCCCCAAGCGATTAAGTTTAGAACTACATGAATAGGGACAACAAATACAATGACTCAGCGCTCGGCTGACTTAACCGAACGCCGCGTCAGCGTTCGGCTGGAGTTCGTGTTCCCCGTTGAGCGGGAGGAGGGGCTCTTTTATTTCCGCTCCGGCCTGCATGAACAATGCAGTATGCACGGTGCTCAGCTCAGCACAAAAGCCCAAGTGGCTCGCATCCTCTGACGACTGCTCTCGGGAGAGATCCTGCACTTAAGGTCACTTTGCTAATTGTTAGTATCTTTACATTACACTGTGCCCCGCGCTCTATTAAACATATAACATGAACATGCCCACAAGGCCTGTGGGCATGTGCACAGGATTTGTGTTGGGTATACACCAAGGTGTGGGGGCAATAAACGGGTCAGAGCGCCTCGCCAATAGTGACAACGGTAAATATCACGTCCTGCGGTGCGCCCTAGACGCATCGTTCAACTACAATCAATATTACTAAAACAAACTTGGGATACGGATATGAGTGACTGGATAACAAAGACAACTCACATAATAGCCACAGCAGTGGTCGCACCTTCTTCAAGTAGGTTGCGTTCGGAAAGGCACTGAACGTTGGGGGACACTGTTCTCTGCTTACCAATGTTCGCTCACAGACAGTGTTCGCGCGAGCAGTAGGTGACCGACTGGCGACAAAAACAGAATCAAAAGAAAACCTCGACGTTTTGCCGTAGCAGGATCAAATATACAAAAAGCAAAACAAAAATGTATTTTGTGTGTGTGTGTGTGTGTGTTTACTTATCATTTTCTTCTATTTGTTATTTTCTTGACACTCAAGTCTGCATTTTTGTCGTATGTCGTTTCCCGGTCTGCGTTGCACCTCAGGATGGCAATCTTTACTTCCGTAAAACCACCCCTTTTGTTTGAGGATTGTTTGGAGGAAACTCTAGGAAACAAAAGGCGCCTTTGGGGAGGTGACGGGAAAACGTTCATTGTACGAACTTTGGGCTGAAATATGAGTCACAATCGTCAAAAAAGCGATGTTTTCACGGGTTCAGTCAAAGTCATTGGAGCTAGTCGGAGCTACCAACAGGCTTTGGTTACTTGAAGGAATGTTCACGTTTGCTCGTGCCACGCCCACGCCCCTTCATACCAAAATACTCGGAAAATGGCGGAATGTCAAAAATGTATTTGAGATAATTAGTACAAGATACCCAGAAATGTAATTAAAATAGAGTATCAAATACTCTCGATCAAAAGTATTTGCAAGATACCAAGATACTTCAACAAATATTTGAAATAGAGTATGTTGACTAGAGTACTGGAGATAGGCACAAGTCACACACACGCGCACACGCACACATACACCACACGCACACACACACGTGTGCGTGCGTGCGTGCGTGCGTGTGTGCGTGTTTAATGCGAGAGAAAAAAGAGAAGGTAGGCAGAATACTTGCCGAGCAGCCAAACCGAAGGGGCTTGAGAGTTTACCGAACCAGCTAGCAGAGGTGGCTACAAAAGCGAGCTCCGGGTCATGCGGAGCATATACGGAGGGAAAGCCGTCTGCTCTTTCGCGCAGGCCGGTGGCGTGACGTCACCTCGCCGCGCTCTGATTGGAGGATGGCTCCGGGCGGGAGCTCGGGGGTAAACAAAGCGGTGTCGTCTTTTCTCCGCAGCCATTGCGGAAGGCCTTTTCTGTGGCTCTCGGAAATCCACTGCTAGTGCTTGAACGAAGACGCGGCATACGGAAAAAAGAGACCGGAAATACCTCGAAATGTACGTTACTTCGTTTGACGCGAAAGAATTTACCCTGGGAGCATACGAAGCACCAATATGCGTCCCGGTCTTCGGCGGTGAGATGTTGATGTGAGCCCCCCCAACGTCAGCACGGTGATGTGCGACGCGAGTGAGCCTTTCTACTTTTTGGCGGAGACCCCTTTTCGCCAGCAAGTGTCTCGGTGTCTCCGTGAAGCACCGAAGTGTAGCTACAGCCCTCTTCGGCGAGCTGAACGGGCTGCCGAGCTTTCGAAGGCCGATCTCCCGCAGCGCTGGAACCCGGAGAACCGCGCCATGGCGCTCGCTGAGGTGAGTTACGTCGTTTCTGTACAGTTCGCATCATTCACAAACAGTTGCACGTGAAAGGAGTATAGCAAAGTAAAACGGAATGGTACGAAAAAGCAGCGGATTAGGCGATCGGTGTGGTACGACCGAGCCGAGTGCGCAGTTGTGTGTTCTTAGTCTTTCCCCCCAGCGACAGATTGTATGCCACTTGTCCAAACAGATAGTGTGGTAGGATATCTGTATGTGGGTCATTAACTTCGCAGTCACGACTCGGTGTTCGATGGTAGTCTATTTTAGCAGTGATAGCGCCGTGTCTAAGTGACATCCGATGTCACTTCTTGCCAGTGGCGTAGCCAGGGAGGGGGTGTTCAGTACTTCGCACCCGAAATCCCCCCCGGCCCCAAGAAAACCTGGCTACGCCAATGCTTTACGCGCGCGATAAAGCGCCGTCCTAGGGTGTTAAACTGAAGACGAATTGTTCTTCTGACGCGTGTTCCATCAGTCGCTCGCTGCTGATTTGTTTCACCATAAACTGCCAGTGAGGCAAACGCTGCGGGGGCGAGTAGCATGTTTTCGTACCTGCCTACTAGTTTTCTTAGGTTCGTTAACCTGCAAATGCTTGTGTTCCCCCTACCCTATCATTCCAACAGAATCCACCGGCTGCCGGGCTACTGAAAGGGCCCTCTGCTCGGAGGACATGTTGCGGGCCCTGTGTAATGCCCTCGGCGCCTGTGCGACTTCAGGGGGTCTGCGTTTCACGGCCCCGTTACCAGCTGGGAAATTCTCCATGTAGGTAAGATTATGAAAGAAACCACTCTATGCACTCAGAGGTAGCTTTCAGAAGTTGTGGAAGCCAAATACAGATGCTGATGTCTTTAGTAAAAACAAAATCAAATTATTACTTGCTTTATGACTTGTGCATCTCTATTTTGCAAGCCATATATGGCAGGAAAGTGTCACGTGATCTCAACCTGGTTTCTCAAGGCACCGAAAAGCTACCTGTTGCAGACCACTGTACCATTGTCATTTATTATATGTTATTCCCTGGCACTGCGGGATTGGTGGCCGAGGGGGCTTGCACGCACCAGCTCGGAGAATGTGGCGTGAAAGCTCGTGCTGCAGAACCCAGAATCGTGTGTTCAATCCCCACATTTGCCCGTTTCGATCTGGATGAGCACTGTATTGGCGTGCGGTCGTGTATCACTGCTACGTGATGCACGTTAAGGGCCCCAGGCTAGCGGTCATCTACAGCTGGGAGACTCATCGCCCGTTGAGGCAGATCAAGTTTGAGACTGTATAAACATACACACAACCCGATTCCTTGGCTCGCTGCTCTTATTGCTGTGCTGATGTTTGGATGTATTTTTCTTGGTCGTTGAAATGACTACTGTGATGCTTGGGTGAAAAAACCGGGTCAATTACCTCCTTGGCCATAGAGTGTTGTTCACTTGTTACTCTCTCTTCTCCTCTGGTTAATGTAGCTCAGATAACAGTCATGCAGTTAGCCCGTTTCAAGTTCTCTCGACGCCACATTCTCACATCTCTGGCCGATCGTCCTGCTTTCGCGCAAAACTCGCACACCTCGTCTTCTTTGATACTCCCGAATGCGCCTCGGTCGCTCACTCCGCCGCTAATTTCAGTCCCGTGCCCACGGTTTTATGACAACCTCCTTGACATGACAAATCTAGCTTCTGTATCCAACCATCAATACGGGTTAGTGTTCAATTTGTAAACTTGATGTTTCAAAGTAACAGTACAAGCTTCCTCCAGCATCTACCAGCAACCAAGCAATGACAAAAACCAAAGCTTTAACTTCCAAGACTAAAAACCCAGGAGTATGAGGACACACTGGCCAACCCTGCTGAGGACAAGCCAGGATGAGGACAAGCCAGGAGTGGGACAAGCATGTAATCTCGGTATATGGAGAGGTGTCCTCGAAGTTCCCAGCTTTAAAATTGTGGTAGTGTTTGAGTTGGTTTAAGTTCAAGGAGTCTCAAAAGAGCAAATAATGCAATGTTATTTATTTTGATTTGCATCCCTTGGATGCTGGCAGGTATTCGGTACGAAGGGAATGGAATAGACATGTCCATTTATGCATTCTGCTGCTTGAAAAATAGGGTTTCACTGATTTTCAGTTGGTAATGGCATAGGAGGACAAATACGCTGCTCAAGAGTGTAACCGGATCGTTTGACTACTGGGACGACTCTTTTACAGGGGACGACATCCTGTCCAGCACCAGCTTCACCGTCTGGGACCAAGTGCACGAGGGGTCGCACTGCAAGCAGATGAAAGAAGGGCACTGCGACCTTGAGGTCAAGCTTGTACATCTACCATTACAGTCCTGAATGGATGCCAATTGGTACTGATGACCTTATGAAGGTGAAACGTCCCTGGATCTAAAGGGAAAATTTGATTGAAGGCGAGCTGAAGTTGTTTCTGACTTTATCCTCTTATGACTTGAAAGTAATCTGCCTACTTCATGAATATTGAAGATGCAGAATTTGTTTCCGTAACTGTCCCACTTCAACGTAATGTGCACATTGAAACCTGTTCCTTTTCTTGTTCTGCTTTCCGGCGAGAAAAAAAAGCCAACGAATCTCCCTTTTCCTTCTCGCAATGGGGAGGTGTGCAAGACTGCATATTTTATATAAGCAATCAGTTTCATAAGTGAATGAAGATAAAAGCAGAATACATGTTCACAGATTATTTGTGAATTCTTAGACTTGCTGAAGTGAGTAGTTTATGTTCGAGTCATGTAATTATGAAGTCAAAACCAGATTTAGTGCATTTTTAAGAAGCCTTTTAGACCTGAGAGTTCTGTTTTGACTCAGCAATACACAACTCACCTTTGTTATTCCTATAGCACAGCCGAAACTATAAACATGAGCGTGTTGCCTGACCAATGCTTGAACTGCCGTGAAATCGACGAAGTCCCTATCCTTCGAGAACAAGTGTCAACGGGGAATAGTCGAAAGACCAGGGTCAAGTATGCACACACATACTTGATTTCAAGCTTGCAGATTGAAATAATTGTTTATTGAATCATATCCATTCTTAAACCTGTTTGAGATTGTATTGGTTCATATTCACAGTATATTTATTTTTCATTTCAGCAAGGAATAATTTAGAGACCGATGTTGGTGTTCAGGCGTGATGCTTTTATTTTCGTAACATGCAAGAGTGCAAAAAATTAGATTCGGCTTTGTAAACTGATTTTTTTATGTATTCTTCCAAACAGCATAGCAAAGAATAATATAAGGGCTACAGCTGCGAGAGTTGCTACACCTGGCATCTCATTTGTTTTATAGCGTGTACAGGTGAGACACTATACTCCGTTTCTCGGTAAATTGGCAAACATTGTGACCCAATAAGAGCATCGGAGCCAGGCACGTGACAACACTCCACGGTCGAGTCCTCGTTATTGCCACAGCAAGAGCGCCATCTGCGACAAAACATAGTTCTAGGCTTTGTTTTTTCTTCTTCTTTTAGTAGTGTTGCCGTCGGATTCTTCGGACCGCAACACTACACGACACTGAAGAAAGACGAAGACACATGTTACTGATTAGCGACACTTAATATAGATCAACACTTTTTTGAGAAAAACATGGCTTGTGATCGAAGTTCAAACAATCGTAGCCGTGAATCGACCACTTCCGCTCAAAACATCGCCCTAGCATTAGCACCCGCCACAGATTCATGGGCAAATTGAGCATGTGGTTGTAAGACGACAGCCGGTTCTGGGGGTGGTCCTTGCATTTGGCGCGGTGACACGAACGCTCCTGTGACATGCGTCCATGTGCCTCGCTCGGACATTCTTACTGGGTCGCAGAAGCCGTAGCCTCCACAGTTCACCGAGCTATCGTGAAACAGAATGTAGACTAAGTTGCCTGCGTGCTAATGAAAGTAGCCTTGCCAGCATCATGTATTATGTATGAAACACTGTATACTTCGAGAAAACAAATAAAGCCATTCAACCTTTCCACTGATTGTGTTTGTTCATTAGTAAAACTTGGTTCAGTGAACTTTACATTTCAGCATTAGCATGGACACAACAGGTAAGGTCAATCACAAGTGCTTTAGAGCGGTCCGAACAGTTTCCAAGTGGCTCATGCAAAGCAGCTGACATGGTATTACCCCCAGGAAAGAGACGAGACCTCCTCGACGAATCTACTCAAGGCCCACCAAACTGAATATTGGCGTTTTTAGGAAATTGGAATCAACCAAACAATTCCATGGAAAGGTACACCACAAACAGCATTGGTGTGAGGGTGAGCCCTATCTGCAGCGACAATACTGAAGCCTCGCATGCCACCATTACTAACACATGCAAGTAGTCACTCGGCGCCTGGCATACTTGGGCATTGATGAAACAAGGAAAGATAATCAATGAGTGGACTAGGAATGTGGATCCAAATGGGAATGTCTTCACAATCGCTGTATGACCACCATCTGTTGGTGCGTTTCTGGATGTCAACAGCCCATCTGGGACCTAGAAATGACAAATGATGTTAGAAAGTTTGTCACTTATACACTGGCTTTTGCTTGACCCAGTCTGCTGAGCGAGCAAAAATATGTACATGTTAGTCATTGTTTGCTCCCGTGTCAATTCCATGGGGCGCTCGTTAGCTAGGCTTGGATAGTGCGCGATCTCCGAATTTTTATCTTGGTATGGGAACGAAAAAAGAGACAAGCGACACGCAAAAACACGTCAGACACTGACAGCGTCGATGCGGTTCCAAGATACACTGCGCAACACATTTCGCAGAAAGGCGGCATCGGTACTTCGTCGGCAATTCACTCATACTGGCTAATGTGAAACGGCAAATTTGTACTGTCCGAGTTGATTCACTGTATTACACGTAACAGCCATTCATATTTCATTCCCGAAAGAAAAAACGATCGCGTTTTTGCGGCAAGTTTTGAGCTCTGGGCTTTTCTACAGTGCCATGATTACAACCGTAGACTGCAACTACTATACCAAATACGATGTATGACTATACTGCGTCTCACCTAAGTGCGAACGAAGCGAAAATTACAAACGCGAGAATCTGATCAGCGCTTGTACTGCAAGATCGCACATGCATGGCAGCTATGATCAAAGCTCGGGATTCGCCCATGTAGATTTAACTTCGACCGCATTTAAAATGAAACGGAACATAGCTTATACGGCCTCCGTGCAGCTTCGAGTCGAAATGACGAGTGTGTATATTCCTAAGTATCACCTGCGAAGATAGGCTTCGGAGGATCGCGAAAACGCTACATTCTCGGCCGTTTTTCGATTAATAGCGCCCATCGACTCCGCCACACAAGATTTATAAAGACCTGCTAGAAGGCAAAATCCGTTGTGTTCGTAAAGGAAGAACAAGATAAAAGGCAACTTACCGGTACAATCGGGCGGCGGTCTCGTAGTGACCGGCGCAACCGGCGTTTCAATCACGAGGCTAGGCAAGCGCCTTCTTTTTGATGCTCTTCGTCGTCTTCATCTTGGAATCTTCGAAATGCCTCTAGCAGACGACGGAGGAATCGTAAGGGGCACAAAGCTGCTCGATCTTGTGGACTCGGCAAATTTTAACCGGGCTACAATAAATAAAAGACTAGCGATCGCCGCTACAACACGGCCGCCATGGCCGACGCCGATGTTTGTTTACCCCCCGGCCTCCCCCGACATGTGCGAGGGCGGAGCTTAGTCGGAATCGTCATCAACCTCCTCTCCCGCCTTCGCGCCTCCTTTCTCATGCGCAGAAGACGAAAATGAGCCCACTTGCGAGGCGTATTCGTTCGTGCACTGAAATCGAAGGTACTAACACGAAGAACACTGTGGGGAAGAAGGGGCTGAAGTCATAGGATCTCAAACTTTGGAAAGAAAATTCTGAAAAGGAGGGAGGGAGTGCTTGGATGAAAGATGGTTAAGGGGAGAAGTGTCAACGTTTCACCTTATGTTGTGCCGCAGCGAAGGCTAGAAGCGCGTGCTGATAACTTCGGCAGCTGCCCTTGGTGCACGAGAGCTTGTGCCGCCGAGATGTGCCCTAGAGTAAGGAGCTCACGCTTGTAGCCTTTCGTGCGGTACAACACAAGGTGAAACAGAGTTTTTATAGCAAGGCTCAAACACGGCCACTATATAAAATTCTTGCTTCGCCCTTCTAAAAGATTGGGCTTTGTGTATGTTTATACAGCCTAGAACTTGGTCTGCCTCAACAGACGAGGAGTCTCCCAGCTGTAGATGAGAAATTAAGCCAGTGCAATACAACCGTTGGCCTGGGGTCTTTGACGTGCACCACGACGCATTCGCCTTTCAAGGTGAGAGCTACTGCTATACGAACATGCGAGACGCCGTTCTACGAGCGAGTGCTAGCCGGCATTTCCTCGAAAGGGCAGCTCATTTTAGTTACAGGGTATTTCAGCGCTGCGCTATCACCTGCTTCCAAGTGCATTTGTCGTTACTTGCAAGACAAACACGCACACGGAGATCAAGAAGCCTTGTCTAGCCTTTAGCAGGGCTGGACAACGAGAGCCATCTGTCGTCAGTGTGAAACACCAAATGTTGCGTTTCCCGATCCCGCGGCAAACTCAAGAGCGCGAACCGCGTGCTTGAAGTTGAACCTCGAGGACCTCGAGCTTAGAGCACCGCACTCCCTGCGCCATCTGTCGTCACGTGCTGGGAGTTCCACGTCCTGGGGCGCTTTGACGTCTCGTCTGGCGGTCGTTATTTTTAGGACGCTATTTGTTGCTCCTAGAATAGTCGCGGTAGAAGCCATGGCGTAGGGCAGTCGCTGCGTGAAGCCATGTGGCTCTTCCATTGACTTCGGTTCATTTCTTAGACACGTTTTTTGCTCCCGCTTCAGCGTGCGCCGCGGGCTGCCCGTAATGCCCATTGGTACAATGTGCACAACATGACACTGTTAGCACGAAGAAGCGATCGCGGCGTTTCTGCCTATTGGTCTGCGAGAATTGAATCACTGTCATTAAAACTACTAGTGTAGCGGAGAGTGCCTATTTCTTCAGCGCGTTTGCCGCTTGGAGGGGGGGGGGGGGGTATTCATTTAATGATGACGGCATGAGCAGGCCTTGTCTTCTAGGCACTATAGCTTCAAATCAACCTGCAAAATTTTGTGAACTCCAAAACCTAAAAAAAAAATCTCGCCTAGCTCGTTGACGTGATTTTAGTAAGATGATGAAAGCTCAACACAAAATACCGTCGTCGTCCCTCCTTTGTGATTAGCCAATTTCATATTTATAGATTCAGAGTACAATGGGGATGTCCGGCTCAATTACCGCGAACGAAAGAGAAGCCACAAACAAAACACACCAGCGTCGTGTCGTGTTTGTGTCTTTTCGGCGTCTGCGCTCTCTGAGCTGTCCATCTCCATCATGCGCAACGTTTTAATTTTTAATTTTAATAAATTGTATATATATATATATATATATATAAAAACATACATCGATGTCCCGTTCACACTCGCTAATTGCTCTTTGTCTTTACATCCTTTTTGCGAGAAATTATTTCCGTGCAAATGTGCGAGAGACATATGTGCCAAGATCGGAGCGGCCACGGAGAAATAACGCGGCGTCTTGACAGCTCTGTTCGATGCTGTGCAGTGACTGGACCCGTATAATATTACCACCTAAAAGACAAGGCCTGTGGCATGACGTCATCGTCAGTGGATCCCCTAACCGCGTCGCGCTCGTTGTGAGCCGCTACAAGACTCGCTGGTGGCAACGCTTACGCCAAACGTATTCGCGACTCCAGCCAGGCACGTATCCAGGGAAGGGGGGGGGGGGGGGGGTCTGGCCCCCCCCCCCCCCCCGAAATCTTCCATTGTGCTGCCCCCCGCCCCCCCCCCCCCCCCCCCAAAAAAAAAATAATAATCCCGGCTACGTGCTTGACTCCAGCGAACTATAAGGGGCGCGCTGGTGAGGCAAAATGGCGGACGAAAGAAGGTCGTTATCGTCGTTCAGCACGCGGACCACCATAAATGTTTTGCACAGCAGCCTAAAATCGGTGTTACATATAAAAAGAAAGCGTTTTTTTGACAGTCGAAACCTTGTTTTAGTCAGTGCGTAGGAATGACAAGGCGGAAGATATGAAAGTAATTACTGGAAACGATGTTTGCTTCTATGCTGCCTACAAACTCCACCCCGAATTTCATCAGTGTCAGTGGCTGATATCCGTAGCTGCTGCGTAACGTCGTATGACGCAAAGGATCGTCGTATGGTCGGGATAAAAAGCGTTGGTCGATGGATGTCTCGTATTTTGTTTCGTATTTTATGGTCTCCTAGGCTGTACCATAGAGAAATACGTTTCTTGTATTCCAGTTCCCAAGCGTGTGAAAAAAAGTAGCGCCTTTGAGCAGGAAATTACTCGAAAACAGCCGTTAGCTTCGAGCAAACGTATGCTGTTTCGCGCAAACACAACCGCGACTGCCATCGATCGGACAAGGAGGGCCTGCAAAGGGAAGGATGCAGATTTCGCCTCTGAAGCGGCATCTGGGTCCATATATCATCAGCTTATCCACTGGATCGGTGATGCGGCTGCGGGTCGTTCTCTCGAAGGCGATGCCTGCGAGTCGAAGGCAAACGGCGAACCGTTCACAATGCATGTAACATTTCTAGATCGTCACTTGACTCGGACGAGCTTGGTGAACTGTAGCCACGCCCCATTTTCACACGCGGGTCAAACACAATCGGGCTGCACTCGTGCTAAATATAACGTTTGACGTCGTTTCAAGACCGCCTAACTCTTGGTTTCGGTTAAGCTGCTTAATCAAACCGATTGATTCGATTTGAGCGAAGTGTGGGTGGACGTTGTTGAGTATTGTTAGCACAGCATCACACCTCAGCTTACGAGCCTCCTGTCCGCTTAGAACTGAGCTCGTAGCTCTCCTCTGTGAGATGATTGCTGCATAAGCGGGATGTCGATCTTGACGGGAAACCAGTGCTCCCTACGCACGGCGACGATCCGTTTTGCTGGTCGCTGCACGTCTC